ATTTATTTCCTATCCAGAAAAGCAGAGGCCATGTGAAAAGGAGGTGCAGATGAGATGATGTTATTTTAACTGAGTCAACTGAAGTTAAAAAATACACTTGCTTGTGTGTGCGTGTACACTTGACAACACAGATCTCTTCCCTGCAACTACTGACTGCTGCGCTTTGCAGCTGCACCTCGTACTAGCGTGTGGTTGTACAAGCAAGTCCTGTGGTTCCTGTAAGAGAACTGAGTGGCTTGTGACTGGAGTGTTCCCGTCTCTGCAGTAGATATCCAGATTCAGTTTTGTGTCATGGATGAAAGGTGACAACCATGCTTCAGCAGGGGAATCCCCGTGCTTGCATTGCGTTCCAGGAAAAAGACACATCTCTTCAGACGTGCTCATCACCCACATTTACCTTGGCATTCGCAGCCTTATTACCAAGAGTATCACAATCCATATTGACTTTTGTTCTTAACAGCCCCATTCTAGAGAGACGATTACGCCATTTCACAGCTAGGCAACAGGGTAGTGAGTCTCTTGTCAAAGGTCACAAAGGCATTCGGTGGCTGAACTGGGAATTCAGTGCTAGTTTTAAGTCCAAGTTCAGAGCCCTGCCCACTGGACTAATCTCTAGAAAATAACGTTTTTCTACTTGGCAGAGAGATAGGAGCTTTCAAGCATGTCATACCTCAGAAATGAAATACATACCTCAGAATACTGTGGTCCTCAGATGGAGTCACAGATACATGCAGCACAGACTAACATAGTTTTTCAATAAAAGTGGCATAAAAATAAAGCAAACTAGGTCAGTTCTTCCATTGGTCTCCAAAGAACGCTCAATTATCAGAATGAGCATAACCATCTTTAATAAGTAAGCTGGTTTGGAAGCTGAACTGTTTGTTCCAAGTGCCACATACACACCAGCTCTTGCTACTGGCAGAAGAGGCCTGTGAATCAGAGCCCGAAGTCTGATGCAAGAGAAACTTGGGCATCTCAAGCTGCTTTCCCCAGCAGAGAACAACCCTATTAGTTTGAGAAAGTCCCCTGCCTGCTTTCTCTCTGAGTAATTAAGAGTGAAATCCTCCTCTCTGTGACCCCAATGCTCTCAGCCTAGGCTGATTTACACATGAAAAGAACCCTCTGAGGGGCTTTCTCCCTTTCACATTCACAACCAGGCAGGACCTATAAATAAAACCTTTCTGAAAACAGGAGCTTTCAAAAAGGTCTGTGTATGTGCGCAAACGATATACGACAGAAAGGGAATGGATGTGTGCACTTGAGAATGCATGTGTGTTTGCATGCATATGTGAAGAGCGGGTGAGAAGAACGTGCATTCATACACCAGCCCGCATGCAGACAAGTGTACTCGGAAAAGCATCTACACGGATGCGTGAGTGTGCACAGGTAGTTGGGAGCACTTACAGGAGCGAGAGGGCCTGTCCAGGCTGATTTCCAGCTAGCACAGTTCCAGGGGACATTCACCCAAGTCAGCTCAGTCACTCTAGAGTTACACATGAAAAAAATGAGAGCAGATTTAGACCCAGTTGTGCATGTGAGAGTATGCCTGTGATGCACTTTCCCTCCACAAAGCGGTAAAGTACTTGCAGAACAAAACACTAGTGTTTTACATTGCTTTGGATATAATGTGGGACGTAACAGAGAATCAGGTCTCGTGGCACATGTTCCTATGGCTTTGACAAAAGGTGAGATTTTTAAAAGGCTGCATCTTCTCAGCAGCCTGGGACAGAGAGAATAGTGTTGCATTTTCCAGGGCTGTCATTGTTCAAAAGTAATTTTTACAGTTTGTTGGAACACAAAACCCCTCAAAGTTTGAAAAATAAACAATGGGAATGATGCCATGAAAATGAAGGTCAGAAAATCAAAAGGACTATGACTGCCTTTACAGTAGCTTATAAACACAAAAATTCCTAGATACAAATCTGTACTCTCCCTCCCCTGCTGTCCCGTTCACCCGTGTGTCTACACAGTCAGGATATTTCCCCTTCCATGAGGCCTAAGAAGGACCCTACACAGTTTCCAGGAAACTGGCAGTTAGTGTGACCCTGCCCTAATACAAAACAGGTGACACAGAGCTCTGAGCCAAGCCAGGACAGACTGCAGGGTTTCATAAAGCAGGTATTGGTCTATGAGTCTTTGCCCCTGTAAGAGGAGGCTTTTTAAGACCTGGCTACAACGTGATAATTTGAGAACTGCAAACTATTTTACTCCACTACTCCTGACCAGCTGAATCATTTGCTTACTGAAACTGCATCCGTGCTCTATGCTAATGCCAGCAGTCGGGCTATACATGCACTAGCACCGCTGGAGCTGCACCACTGCTTGGTGGGAGACTCCAGGGTGCAAGGCAGGAGGGGTGCTGCACCCTGCACCGTTCTGACTTCATCACTGCTAATCGCAGCTCTTAGATCTTTCCCCTACCCAATTCTTATGCAAACATTTAGAAGAAGCAGGCAGAGAAAGGCACAAAGCAGGAGACATAAGGAGCGCAAAGCCTCACAGAAGTGCACAAAGCGCAAAATGTCTCTTCTGCCAGTTCAAAAAACTCTTCCCAGCTCCTTGCACTAGGCAGGAGTGTGTGAGCAGGGATGCAGAGCTCCCCTCCTACTGAGCTCGCAGCTAAAGCCCTCCCCCAGTTCCCAGGGTCTTCAAATGAAGATTTGCATAGTACTTCCAGATCATTCCCCAGAGAAGGGACAATGGCGCTCTCAACGCCCTCTTCCCCCCTCCCTCCTTCACTTACAAAGCTGATAAAGCCCTGGTGAAAAGGGGAACAAAGGATTTACAGATGGCAGAATATTGATTTCTGCAGTTCTGGGACTACAGGGAAGAAGATGAAGAACCCCCCAGAAACTCTGTGAAGTTTGAGACACAGGCGCTATCTCCGCAGCACAAACTCCGCATTTGTTAAGACAGTATCTGATGGAGGAAACATTGCTATTCGAGAGGGATGAGCAGGTCCCCGAAAACTTGAAAATGCACAGAGATGAGATTACAGTCTGAAATCCCAGTGAGCGCGTTTGTTGTTCTCAAACCTCCTAAACAGAGAGGCGCTTCCAGTGAAAGCAGTTTGCCACCAGGCGGGCCAGTCCGGCATTGCTCTGAGAGCCTTTGGCCCCAGCTGACGGCATCGAAGGCGCTTATAAATCGCATCTCATCAGTGATTCATGCTGTTACCCATGTCCTCTTCTCCCTGCTATCCACCACTGCAGCTAGGAAAAAAAAGAAAGGTGAATGACAAGTCTTTGGAAAGTGGCCTTTGATTCTGAATTACAATGGAACCTCCCTATCTCAAAACTCAGTAACTTTTAGAGCCATTACCTGAAGGCTAAAGCTTCCTGCCTCCGCAAGCATTTCTGTGCTCAGTACGTATAAACCCAAGCTTTCTTCCATGCTACAAACATTCTTTTTCAGCTTAGCGAGTCAACTCCACCTCTACTGAACACCAGCTTACTGCAATCGTTCAAACTTTGCTAAAATGAACAGCGATACAATCCAAAGGGTTCAAATTGGATCCTGCACATCACTGCTGCACATCCAACAGGAGACATTTACTGTGTAGCCAAGTCAGATTACAGGAGTTCTGGCCTGACCTCCACCTGTCCCACCACCACACTGAAAACAGCTTTCCCAAAGTGACTTTATATATATATATATTTTTCTCCTTTTTCAGAGCTAACTTTGTAGCATTTCTGCACTCAGAAGGCTCCCAGGATGCTGGATCTTTTGGAAAAGTGTATATGTTGAAACTTCCTCAAAATGTTGGATTTAGGACCGGATTTTTAAAGGCGATAAGCTAGTTTCTAAATCAAGCTATAGGCCCTCAAATAGGTCACCTTTGGAAAAACTCACGAGTCCTTTCTGCAAGGCAGTAGTGCATACCAGCGAGTACAAGAGGGGGTTCCCACACCACAGGTCAATAATCCAGACAGAGCTTCTGAGCCAGTGGCAGAGTTGACTGTTCATTCACCAGCATTTTCCCCACACCTTTGTAAAAACACATGCTGTCAGGATGAGTGCAATCATCACCGTGACAATAACCATTACATATTGCACAGTTAAGCATATTTCATACAACTGTATCAAAACATTCTACACAATACTTTTTAAAATATCTAGGTTTCTTCAAATACCTGTCTTATCTCAGTAAGAAGAAATTTTTCAAATGGAATCTTTTGTGTCTTCTAGCAGTCACTCCCAATTTACACCACATTTAAAGAAGAGGTGAATCAGACCCATTAGACTCCTGACACACCTAATACGGAGATTAATCACAGCTGTTGGGAGGATAAAGCCTAAGAAAGTCCCATTTTAAATCAGTGTAACTCAGACTGTAATGAAACTGCCACCACACTCAGGTTCAGGACAGGCCCGAACCCCATTTCCAGTTGCTCTCCACAAGCCCCTTGGAGCAACATGGGTGTAAGAAGTGCTCACAAGGAACTTCTTTTAACCTGGGGCAGCTGTGCTGAGTTGCCACTACTACATACTGCTCTCTGTCAGCACTTTCTGCTCTGAAGGGCATTTTCAAGACTGTCAGAGGAGTGAAGGTGTCAGGGAGAACTAGGGAAAAGCACACCTTGGCTGCTCTCACCTCCTGCTGAACGCTTGCACGTTGTCTTTTGAGGCTACTGCAGCAGCACAGCTCACAAATTCTTTTTATTTTAGAGAGTACCACTTTATGCTTCTTTCCTCATCCTAGACAGAGTTTGCTTCTTATTTTGCTGATCCTTTTTTGTCTTCTCTCCTTTGTAAACATTAGTGTTTGTCGCTTACTTAAGAGTTCTTTTTGCTACAAACAAGAGTAGTTTTGTTTATGTAGCTCCTGCTATAAAACAACATTGTAATTTGCTTTACAATACAGAACTTAATCTTGGTTTCATCACTTAAATATTACACAAAATAATTCTTCTATCTTCTATTCCCAAGAAAAGTCATATGCAAATTCCTTTTTAAAAGTCCGATATTAAACGTCTCATAAGCCTGAATCCAAAGGATGCATGTGGAAAAAGGCAAAATCTACCTCCAATGTGGACAAGAACTTCATGACATTAATGTTCCCAACCTCATTCAGCAAAGCAGGTGTGCACGCACACAGTGACGCACAGGGTGAGCTGCAGTGGTTTCAGGTCTGTACTGTACAAAATGCATCACGTCGATGAAGACAGAACACTTCTGTAGGTACGCACAATCCACCAAGGAATAACTTCTCCTTTCAGTATGGAAGCAAGACTGTTCTTAAAATGATTTATTAAATGAAATAATATGAAAGCAAATTACTGGAAGACGTAATTGTGATTTTAAAAAATAAAGAGAATAACAAACCAAAGTACTTATTAACAGTTTATACTGCAAAGATACAGTAAACAAACAACTGAGCAATATTTTTATGCCAAGATATGTTTCACAACAGCCTTCCAAGATCCTGGCCATCTTACCATTCCTATATGCTACACAGTAAATTTGGACACAAGCCCTGCTCCAAGTGAAAAAGGGAAAAGAAATCACGCTCCCCAGCAGCAAACACAGCTCCCTACCATCTAACAACCATGCAACTCAGCCACACTACATGCTTTGGTCTTGCCAACAGAAAAGTGATCAGTTTCGTGGGACCAAGGTGAAAAGTGAGCCTGTACTACCCCTGGCCAGAGCACTGTGTAGTAACATAATCCCAAACCAGGACGGAGCTCTTGCACTCTCCTTCAGCTCCTCTTCATCTTTCACAGATGCCTCCTTCATATGACAGACAAACCTCCTCCTTCTCCTTCCACGAAGGAACGTACCTCGGTAGGAGGAAAATACAAGTCCTTCATCATCATTTGCTCACAGACCAGACCTTACCACCGTCCCTCCCCAAAAGCCCCATTTCTGTGCTTTCCTACTCTGTCCTTTCCAGTCTCTACATCCACTACAGGAGTCCTCTCATTTTACTGCAGGGTTTTAAGTGTTTGAAAAAGTACTCTCTATCTACACAGCTTCTACCAAAGGTCAAGCAGCCAACCATCAGGCTCCAATAAAGAATTATAATAAAATAATATCTAGGTATTTGCAAATTGATTATGATTTTTTTTTTTCCTGGCAATCTTCTGTTTATTCAAGTGATGTTATTTCAGCAGAATCATCCCAGGAATCCACATAACTAAAAACACACCAGTGGTTACAAAGATACATTTCATTACTGACAAACATCTTTTTACTGTTATGATTGAAACAGTTTTTATATCCCAGTGATGGGATTGGTCCCTAATGTGAAAGTCACATTGACAAATCTAACAGCCCTTCTCCACTGTAGCATAAAAGAAACTCAAATACAGCCGTGCCATCACTTCACCAAATTCTACATAGGATGCCAGGGCTGCCTCCTAGGCCACCTACACTGAACAGTCACTGAAACCCACTCACGGACATCCACCCTGGGAGATGCCCCTCCCCAGCGTTCTCTGTCCACGATGCCATAGATCAGTATGTCTCCTCCTGCTCTGGAGAGCTGTGTGGTCACAGGCCCCGCCCGGTGCTGCCCTTCAACACCCAGTGGAAGGCAGTACAAATCACTGCCAGCCGCCACAGCCACCCCACTGCAGACCCCCTTCTCTGTGCCCCAGCCTGACGGCTCCTGTGCCCCTCGGCAGCCTCCCCCCTACAGCCACCCCTGCAGACCCCCTTCTCTGTGCCCCAGCCTGACGGCTCCTGTGCCCCTCGGCAGCCTCCCCCCTCCCCCGGGCACCAGGTTCCTTCGCTCCTGCTCCCCTCCTGGCTGCCCCGGCTCTGGACCAGCCCCGCCAGAGGAGCCCTTCGAGCTCCTCACGCCTGGGACGTCCCTAGCACCCTCCCCGTCCCCACAGCTGCTCAGAGAACCACCCCCCTGAGCCCCCACCAGCCCCTCAGCACCAAAATGCCGCCGATTTCCCCCCCTTTAACGACACACCGCGACG